AAAATAAAAATAAATAAATAAATAAATAAAAAATAAATAAATGCAGTTCCTCATATGTGACCCAACCATAAAATTATTTTCGTTGCTACTTCATAACTGTCATGTTGCTACTGTTATGAATCGTAATGTAAATATCTGATATGCAGGATGGTCTTAGACGACCCCTGTGAACGGGGCGTTTGACCGCCAAAGGGGTCGCGACCCACAGGTTGAGAACCGCTGCCTTAGGAGAACCGGATGAAGTAGGTACTCTTCCAATCCCCGTTTCACAGATGAGGAAACGGAGGCACAGAGAAGCTAAGAGGCATGATGAGTAGTGAGATCGATGAGATGATGCCATTGGGACCCCAGCTTTCTCTGGCAGGAAAAATATGCATATACTTATCTACAAAAATATACACGGATATTTTTTAAGAGTCAGGATCATCTAATTCAGGGATGTCAACCCTGTCTGGAAATTTTGAAACTCCCCAATGCTCAGGCCCCACCCCAGGCCGAATGAGTCAGACTTCTTTTCCTTACTCTCACATGTCCAATCGCTTCAGAACAATGCCTTGCCTGAGTTTCCTGTGGCTAGCATGTGAGCCTTCTTGGGCAAAGATGAAATGAGCTAATGTGGGGGACGGGGGAAGAAGCCCCAAATATTTAAGGAAGTGGAGTGCCACAGCTCAACAGATACAGAGTCTGGTGCTGCCCCTGCTCTTGTCCCGGCTACCTCAGGGCCCTGCTCCCTGGGGACAGACTGGTGGCTCACACTGCCACCTCCGGGGTAGGCTCTCAGACAGTATTCTGAGGTCCCAGGAAGCTGGCCCACTTAAATGTTCACGGTCCATGAGAAAGGCATGTAAGAAACCATGGCACTCCCTTTTCAAAAAGCGTGGAGCCCTGGCCGTTGTGGCTCAGCGGTTAGAGCATCTGCCTGGGCACTGAAGGGCCTCAGGTTCGATTCCTGGTCAAGAGCACCTACCTACCTGGGTTGCAGGTCCAATCCCTCATATGGGAGGCAACCAATGGATGTGTCTCTCTCTCCCCCCTCCCTCCCATCCACTCTCTCTAAAAATGAATGGAAAAAATATCTTCCGGTGGGGATTAATAAAAAAAAAAAGAGTTGGAGAAATACACGGACATTGATGAAGATGGAATTCTTGGCAAACTCTCCGAAGAGGAACTGAAACACTTGGAAAATGTTCCTGATGACCTAGACCACCACCCCCACCGCCCCGAGTGCCCTGCCACCAGCTGGATTCCAACAGAAACAGCAGACAGGGAGCAGCCACCAGCCCATCTGACCCTGAGCACCTCCCTTGGACTAGGGAGACAGGGAAGACCCTGCCCTTCCCCGGAGAAAAGAAAGGGAGAAAAACTGCTTCACCAGAGGAAGCGATAAAGGAGAAAGCGTGACCCTGGATCCAGAACCGGGAGAAACTTTGGCCAGAGCCTCTGACACTGAGCTCTACACAATGTGCTCAGTAATGCAGAGTTTGGTGAAGAAACATCCCATATCAAGGGCCTGGAAGACTTGTGGTCAAAGGTGATAGGTCAAGCCTGTGTTTGAGCGACCACCCAACCCCACAGAGGTGGAAGTAAGGCTGCAGCTGGAAGTAGGCTGTGGGAGGTCCCCTGCCAGGAAAGGCGCTGTGGCTTTCTTTTAAGTTATGTTGACTGAACCCAAGGCTTGGGCATAACCCTACCTTGGGGGCATTTCTGGCCAAAAGGTGAGAATGCCTTCAGCTCAACTCTTCAAAGCCCTGGTGCGGGGAATGGGTTTTTATTATGTAAATCCAGTCAAGCACTGGAAATACCTCCCTTACCTTGAGTTTTAGTGAAACCTCCTGATTTTCAGGGAATTGGGACTATAAAATAAACACGCTGCTTTGGGACTTGGTCTCTCTGCCTCTCCACCAGAAGAGGACAGAAGCCCACCCAGGCCCAGCTTTCCTTTCTATTTCTGCTTCTATCTTTCATTTTCTCAATCCCCAAAGCGCCTCCACTTGAAGGAACAGGTCCAAGCTCTCTTTCCCGTGTGGGATGCAGAAAAGTGAGCCCCACGCCCCGGCACAGCCGGCCATCCCAGCCTCCAAGAAGCCAATCTCCGCAGCAGGACACTCCAGTTCCGACCCTCAAGGAACTGGCAGATGCTCTGGAGACCAACATGCATGTAACTCGCAGCCTGCAGCAATGGCCCTGGGGCAATCACTGTTGCAGATACTCTGAAAGTAAACAAGACCTAGGAAAGTCCAAACATAGAACCCCATTTTCTAACAGGAACTCGGATCCCGGCCCTGTAGAGGCACTAAGAGAAAATGACTCCTTGACCCAAACCAAGATGGACAGCCAGGGACAGCAGTTGGAACAGCCGTAGAGATGGACATTGCCCAGATGCTCCCGGAGAATTCGGGATCCTTGAATTTGGATATCGGTTTACCAAGCAAGGGCTACGAGCAAGGAGGCGGCTGCCCTCACAGAGAGTAATTGTTGTAATGTACCCCACGAATCACAGAAGGACGCCTCAAGTCGAATTAAAGAGTCACATTTATTGCAATCCGGGACTATGAGGGGCCATTCCCAAATCTCATAGTAATAAGATGGTGGCAAAACCAGACTTATATAGGCAAAAATCACAAAGGTATTGATTACATCCCAGGGTTTGGAATGAGGCACCTGGCTCGCAAAAAAAGCAGATTACAGAAGCAGAATTAAGCATGTTAATTACAGTTTCGGGTCTCGGGGTCACTGAATTGACAGAAACACCTTATGAATTGACAGAAACACCTTATCTAGAGCCCTCGGGTCTTGAGACCACTGGGTTGCCAGGAACTCATTATCTAGAGACATCGAGGTAATTTAGAGTAATTGCGCTGTCCTGGCCTTGGGACCACTGAGTCAGCTGGAACGCACCACCTGTGGCCACTAAAACAATTTAGGGCAATTGTGCTGTCCTGTTTCCAGGTACAGAAGAATGTGCTCTCTAAGACCAGTATGACCCCAACCCGTGGGATATTCACATTATCATCAATAAGGCATTTAATTGAATGGGATGACTTATACAATTCAGAAAATCAAAATAACCTGTCCATTGTTAAACAAAGCAAATAGGTACCATACTTCATAATGACCTGTTTTGTGAAAAGTGAGTTGAAGGAGACCAAGGGTCAATTTCCACAAGAGGCGAAGTTTCACCCTGGCAGCCATTATTTATTTATTTTTAAATATATTTTATTGATTTTTTTTTTACAGAGAGAAAGGGAGAGGGATAGAGAGTTAGAAACATCGATGAGGTGTTCTGCATCCAGCGGCGGCGGCACCGGCCATGACCCCGATCCTCTGCCCCCGGACTCGACTAGCAGCGCAGCCCCCCCAGCCTCCTACTGTTGTCGGAAGCAAGAGCCTGTGCTTAAATAAGAAATAAGGCCTCATTGGAGACATTCAAGCAGAAGTTGGACAACTACTTTTCCAGAACAGAAAGGAAACTCATGCATCAGAAAAGGTGACTAATAAAGGTCCCGAAAGAATATGGCTGCACAAATTCCAGAATCTGATCAGATAAAACAGTTTATTTGTTTTTTTTTGTTTGTTTGTTGTTTGTTTTTTTTGTTTGTTTGTTTTTTTGTTTTTTTTGTTTTTTTTTTTTTTAAAACCTTGTGTTTACTTATTAAGGGAAATGGTCTGTGCAATACAATTCCAGGGTAATAAAAAGCCTGTAAGGTATTTGGTATAGTTGTTTTTTTTTTGTTTGTTTTTTTTTTAAATCTTTATTGTTCAGATTACATTTGTTCCTCTTCCCCCCCCCCCATAACTCCTCTCCTCCCAGTTCCCGCCCCACCCACTGTCCTCCCTCCCCACCCACTGTCCTCACCCATAGGTGCATGATTTTTGTCCAGTCTCTTCCCGCATCTCCCATTCCCCTTTCCCCCCCAAGAATAGTCAGTCCATTCCCTTTCTATGTCCCTGATTCATTATAATCACCAGTTCATTCTGTAAATCAGATTATTTATTCACTTGATTCTTAGATTCACTTGTTGATAGATGCATGTTTGTTGTTCACAATTTGTATCTTTACCTTTTTCTTCTTCCTCTTCTTAAAGGATACCTTTCAGCATTTCGTATAATACTGGTTTAGTGGTGATGAACTCCTTTAGCTTTTCCTTATCTGTGAAGCTCTTTATCTGACCTTCAATTCTGAATGATAGCTTTGCTGGATAAAGTAATCTTGGTTGTAGGTTCTTGGTATTCATCACTTTGAATATTTCTTGCCATTCCCTTCTGGCCTGCCAAGTTTCTGTTGAGAAATCAGCTGACAGTCGTATGGGTATTCCCTTGTAGGTAATTGAGTCTCTTTCTCTTGCTGCTTTTAAGATTCTCTCTTTGTCTTTTGCTCTTGGCATTTTAATTATGATGTGTCTTGGTGTGGTCCTCTTTGGATTCCTTTTGTTTGGGGTTCTCTGCGCTTCTTGGACCTGTAAGTCCATTTCTTTCACCAGGTGGGGGAAGTTTTCTGCCATTATTTCTTCAAATAGGTTTTCAATATCTTGCTGTCTCTCATCTTCTGGCACCCCTATTATTCTGATGTTGGTACGCTTGAAGCTGTCCCAGAGGCTCCTTACACTATCTTCGTATTTTCGGATTCTTTTTTCATTTTGCTTTTCCGGTTGGGTGTTTTTTGCTTCTTCGCATTTCAAATCTTTGACTTGATTCTTGCGCTCCTCTGGTCTGCTATTGGGTGTCTGTATAATATTCTTTATTTCAGTCCGTGTATGCTTAATTTCTAGTTGGTTCTTTATCATAGCATCGAGGGTCTCATTAGTTTTCGTGACTCTCTCCTCAAGTTTATTGACAGCTTCTAGCACATTTTTGCAAGCCCTCAAAATTGCGATTTTTAGCTCTATATCCTCCATTTCTGTCATGTTTTTTTGTCTCCGCATTTTTTATGCTTTCTTGGTGCACCCCCTAGTGGTCTTTGTGCGCAGTCTTGTTCTAGTTGAGCCTTGATTGTTGTAGTTAATACTAGAGGGATTTGACCACCAGGCCGACTGGCTGTGTGAATCAGCTGTGTCTGCCGCGGAAAACTTCTGTCCTCTGGGGAGGTGCTAATCTAGCCTTTGCCTGAGGCGATCCGGCAAATGGCTCTGCGCAGGGCTTGGGCGGGGCGGGCTCAACAGGGCGGGCGGAGGGAGCCGTTATGGTGCCCTCAGTCCTGTTCCCAGAGGCTCTGCTTCTCAGAACCCCCGGAACCGCTGCAAACCTCGGAGGGAAAGCTGCCTTCCAACTGATGCCAGACACTCCCGCTTCTCCCGTTTGGGTCCGAGTCCCCAGCGATTCGCCCGTATCTGGAGCTCAGAGTCTGAGACTCCCCCCTGACCGAAAACGACAACCGCGCTCTCAGCCACCAGCCCGCTTTGCGCGCGCACCTCCGCACCTGAGTTTTTTCCACACTGCGCCTCCTCTGAGCCTCGGTGTGCTGTTATTTTTCCTTCTAGTTGAAGAGTCTCTCCTCAGCCAGCCTTCCTGTGGTTCTGGGTGATGTCCGTTCCGTCTTTTAGTTGTATTTTTGAAGTGGTTGTTTGCGGCAGCAGTCTCCGGTGTTTACCTATGCCGCCATCTTGGTGGAGTCCCAGATAAAACAGTTTAAAGAATTTCTTGGAACCTACAATAAACTTACAGAAACCTGCTTTTTGGACTGTGTTAAAGACTTCACAACAAGAGAAGTAAAACCTGAAGAGACCACCTGTTCAGAACATTGCTTACATAAATATTTAAAAACGACGCAAAGAATATCCATGAGATTTCAGGAATATCATATTCAGCAGAATGAAGCCCTGGCAGCCAAAGCAGGACTCCTTGGCCAGCCACGATAGAGACGTCCTGAGGGGTGGACTTTCCCTGAAAGGCTGCCAATAGCTTTGCACTGGAAGTGAGGATTCATCTGATAGAATCCCCTGAAAGCAGCAGCCACCATGTTAACCATCTGTCATGACTGGCAAATGGAAACCACTGGAGAAACGAAATTGCTATTTACCAGGGATAATCAAAATAGAAGGTCTTATTGTCCAATCAACATGTAAGACGCAACATTTGTTGAGGCCTTATGATTCAGGAGCTTAGTCACTTTAACTCTCTATCCCTCTCCCTTCCTCTCTGTAAAAAATCAATAAAATATATTTAAAAAAAAAAAAAAAAAAAGAAAAAAGAAACATCGATGAGAGAGAAACATCGATCAGCTGCCTCCTGCACACTCCCCACTGGTTATGTGCCCGCAACCAAGGTACATGCCCTTGACCATAATTGAACCTGGGACCCTTCAGTCCTCAGGCCGATGCTCTATCCACTGAACAAACCCGTTAGGGCCCGGCGGCCATTTAAAAAGGAACAAAAACTCTTCTTCTGAAACGGGAACAAAGGGTCTGGTGCCGGTGGCTGTCAGAGTCAAATAAGTAGAGCGCAGTTGAATCTTTGTGGTGCGTTTCACTGTCCGCATGGCCGGCGATCAGAGAGGGCGACAGGCCTAACTCCTTGAGAAAATCGCCCTGACACCTCCTCCCAAGCTAGCTGTACAGATAGGTTGGGGGGGGCGGGGAGGGGAATCTAAAATACATGAGTTTCAAAAATAAATAAATAAATAAAATAAAATACATGAGTTCCCAGGGTCTTCTTTCTGTCCTGGTCCTTGTAAAATTAGCACCAGATGCTGTAAAGATCAGCCCTGAGACGCTGTCTCCTTTCACACAGGGCCTGTCCCTAAGCTTCTTTCTGAGTGATGGGCCATTTGGGCTCCAAAGCTTTTTTTTTTCTTTTTTTTTTTTTTTTTTTTTTTTTCACAAGAAGCCATAACTTTACTAATGATAGAAGCAGTACAAATGTCAACCCAAGCTGCGGTAACTCTTTCGAAACACCAAAAAAAGGTCCTCCTTTTAAGCCCGGCTGGCATGGCTCAGTGGCTAAGTGTTGACACATAAACCAAGAAGTCACCGATTGGATTCCCAGTCAGGGCACATGCCTAGGTTGCAGGCTCGATCCCCAGTAGGGAGCGTGCAAGAGGCAGCCGAACAATGTTTCCATCTCTCTACCCCACTCCCTTCCTCTCTCTAAAATCAATCAAGAGATTTACGAGGTGGCTGCAAACTGCTGTTCAACTTAGTTTTCCTATTCCACTTGTCCCGGAATTTTCCTAGCTTCTTACTGTTCTATACACATCCACTGTTAAGTTTCTTGTGTATCCTTGCCAGCTCTTTTTAGGTACATTGCTCTCTGTGGGTATATCTCCCCTTTTAAAAAAAACAATGGAGGGGAGCAACTCATGGTCCTGCATCTTTGTTTTATTCACATTAAAATCTACATTAGCACAAAAAGTAAGTAAATAAATAAATAAATAAATAAAATCTATAAAGTTTTTTTTTTACGGCCCCTCTTTTGCCCTAGCCAGTTTGGCTCAGTGGATAGAGTATTGGCCTGTGGACTGAAGGGTCCCAGGTTCGATTCCGGTCAAGGGCACATATCTGAGTTGGCTTGATCCCTAGCAAGGGGCGTGCAGAAAGCAGCCAGTCAATGATTCTCTCATCATTGATGTTTCTCTCTCTCTCTCCTCCTCTCCCTTCTTCTCTGAAATCAACAAAAATATATATTTTTTAAAAAGGTCCCTCTTTTTAGATGGTTATATTGTTAATTCCATAATAACATTTTTTAAAATATATTTTATTGAGGAAGGGAGAGAGATAGAGAGTTAGAAACATCGATCAGCTGCCTCCTGCACACCTCCCACTGGGGATGTGCTGCAACCAAGGTACATGCCCTTGACCGGAATCGAACCTGGGACCTTTCAGTCCGCAGGCCGACGCTCTATCCACTGAGCCAAACCGGTTTCGGCATAATTCCATAATAACATTTACAGTAATATCATCACTGCAGTTCTTCAAGGCTCAGACTGCCTCTGCTCTTGACACACTTGCTTGTGACATGACCCATTCCATGTCCTTAACCTCCACACCTGTGTCATCAGCCTTTTCCTCTTCTCCCTCCTCTTGGACAGTTGGAGCCTATGTTTTCTTGAATATATGAGACAGCTTCACCTTGAACTCTGAATTTCTCAGCAGCTGCCAGCTGAGCTTGCTGAGATAAATCCTCAATCTTGGCTTCCCCAAAACATATGTAGGTGTCTAAATCTGGGCTCTTTCAGACATCTGGTTTTGTGATGACAAAGGATATTCTAAGATTTCCATACAGTGACTCTGGGAATTCCTGGAACCTGTCCTAGACCCAGTGTGGACATAGCCTTCTGTGCCTTCTTATGACTAAGCTCTGTTTTGCTTTACTGACTGGTTCTTCATTGATTTCAGCTGCTGCTTGTTGTGGGATTGCCTATGTGGAACCTGTTCCCTGAGTTCTGATACTGATTCATTGCTGTCCGATCCTGTTCCAGACCCTGGCTCAGCCTGGGCTGTGGCAACTCCAGCTCTGTCACAGGGCCGGTTTGTGTGGCTTCACTGGGCATTTTGTGCGGGGCAAGGCTGCTTATCTTTACAACTCTATTTGATTTCCTTATAGCAGGCCCTCTGCACTTTCCCCAGGTGTGTGAGGAAACCTCTTATCCATAGTTCATAAGGTGAGTAATTATTAAACTGTTTTTATTCCTGTCACTTCCCCATTGGGACTGTTTTATCAAAGGCTTTTCATTTATCTTAACCATACAACTAATATTTTTTTATTTTATTAGCACTAATTTATTTTGGATTTTTAAAATATCTACCATTGTTTTATTTGTTCATGGGCACCTCTGGCAACTTGTACCAGTGGACATATGCAGATCTTAGTGGGTGACAATAGAAAATTATTAACTACTGCCTTGCTGGAGTGTCAACCTATGAACCAGGAAGTCATGGTTCCATTCCTGGTCAGGGTACATGCCCGGGTTGCAGGCTCAATCCCTAGTGTAGGGCGTGCAGGAGGCAGCCAATCATTAATGTTTCTCTCTCTCTCTCTCTCTCTCTCTC